GCCAGGCCCTGCCTCCTACAGGCAGCTGGCTCTCCTTAGTTGCCCCGGCAGCCCGCAGCTGGGCTCGTTATGTCCTGCCAGGGCTCGCTCTCTCTCTCTCCCTGGCAGTTTCCACTCCCTAGGAGCAGGGCACTGAGGTGCCCTGCGACAAACTGTTTAAGTGTTATTTCAGCAGATACATGTCCATTGACCTGCTTCCTTGGCTGGCATGATTTAGCTGGGGACGGTCCTGCTTTGAGCAGGGGGTTTGACTAGATGTCCTCCTGAGGTCTCTTCCAACCCTGATTTTCTATGATTCTATATTTGCACTGAGTGCTCATATTGGAAGTGGCAATGTTAAGTCAAACATAGAAATACATATATAAACACAAAGTAAAATACACTGTGTATTTTATTATTTTGATTCAATATATTAAAGTGCAGGACATAAAACATCCTGAAAAACAAATGACAAACGATTACTAAAGTGGAAAAAATATAGATATACAAATTTTAATATATGAACTGTGTTCTGGAATTGGATAAAGCTTAGTTCTACATCGTTATATGTAGTGCTACATCATGATGGCACAATGGCATCAAGAAAGATCAGGTTAAATCTACAAAATGCTTCAAAGAAGTTTGCCAACAAAACAATTAGTCAAATGACCTATGCAGATACACGTAATAAGTTCCTAAATACAGGAAGACATGATCCCAGGGAAAGGGCTGGCAGTCTTGCATTACATTTATGAAGGTTGGCCTTAAGACTGCTACTTTTGCTGAAAGCATGACAAGAATTCATTAACAGTTAAGACAGAAGACTTCAGAATGAAGTTACTAAACTTAAGTTGGAAAAGTGGCTTCTATTGGTACGGAGACATATTTAAATAACCACTATGGGCCAAATTTTGAAGATTTTCTCTTTAAAACTGTGCATTCATCATATGTACTGAATGAGGCAAGGATCCTAGGGAAAAATGGTATCTGCTCATGTACAGTAATTAAAGACTATATGATAATGCATATGCACAGAGGGGCCAAGGTAAGCCTTTACTTCTAAACTTTCAAATGCTTGACTTTTCCACATAAATAATGGTCTTAAAATATAATTGTATGGAATTTCTTAGTTTGTGAAAAAGAACCACCCCCCCCACAAGTTCTACTAATAAGCAACTGAAATCTCCATCATGCATCAATTATCACTGGGGTTTGAACCTAGAAGTTTTAGCCTACTACCAGATTGCTACCACATCAGTGCTATGTGCAACTTTAATAGTTGGCAACAGAAGGGTGCTATCCAAAGAAGAGGGATTGATTACTAAATCTAGGCACTAGGTTAGCATCCAGCAATTGGTCTGGGAAGAGTCCAGCAATATGCTGGATCCAGGGGCTAATTGGCAGTCTCTCTTTACCATGGAAATCTGGGTAGGTCCTGTCCCCATTTGAATACACCGTAGAAGGGAGGGCAGGTGGTTACTACAGCTCTGATTCTGGCCCTGAACCAGGTTCAGAGTTGAAGCTACAGCTGCTGCCTGCTCCATAGTGGCAGCCACATGGTGGTTTTGTCCCCAGCCCAGCTATACAGTAGTGGTAGTGGTGGCTACAGCTCTGGATTGACTTCAGGATTGGGGCCTGGCCCAGAGGGGCTGCTGCTACTGCAACAACTGAATGTGTGGCCAGGCTGGGGCCAGAGTGACCACATGCTCTGTGTTGGAACCAGAGCCAGAAGGTAAGCTGCAGAGAGAGGGAGAGGGGAGGATGGGGCAGAGGCAGCAGGGGAAAGTAGCAGAAGAGCAGGTGCCAGGGTGACAGGCACTGTTAGGGGGCAATCAGTAGGGGGAAGGGGACTGCCCCCTGCTGCTGTTTACCCTGCTGCAGCAGTGGAGGGATGAGGAAATTTAAGACAACCTCCAATAATTAGACTCTATATATGAAAAATTATAATACATTTATAATTTTTACATGTACTGAATCTAATTATTGCGGGGTGGGTGCCTTAAATTCAAAGTTGTCTTGGATTTGGGTAATGGTATATCAGGTTTTTTTTTAAATGAGGTGCTACTAAATTCTGAAAAGTTTTGGAGTGGTGGCTTCAGTCTGAAAAGGTTGAGAACCACTCTGCAAAAGGGTGAACTGTATTCTGACACTTTCCCCTGCAGCTACGGGAGTAACTCAGTTATGAGCCAGGAACACTGTGAACAGTGGCTTCCCTACCTTACCTGCTTTGCTGCTCATCAGCTCCCTGACAACTGACTGATCTAATGCATTAGGCTCTGTATTTTCCTTTGCTTGCTTCCTTGTTGGGCTGGACGAACCCGAGGGAGAGCTGGGGAGATATTCAACTGGCTTTGCTCAAGTTAAGGGAAGAAAAATGTCGTCTTTTCCTTACAGTCACCCACAGGAGTCCAAGAAAGGAAGAACCCAAGTTGAAAGAATTATTTGAAACCACAGAAGTTTTTCTATTCTATTGGGCCCATTTCCTTATGTTTAGCTATATTTATAGATTGCTATGGGGATCTACATTTCACATAAGCCTAAAAGGGGACTAACAAATAGGAACAGTGCCACT